GCCTCAACAGTGTCGATAGATAGGGGGATTTGGGGAGTTTACTCTAGTATAGGGTAGCAAAATTCAGCTGAACTAGCTCTGATATAGGCTAGGGGTTCCAGGGTCCCAGCGCACATCCCCACCCAGAAATTCTCAAAGTACCCCCCCTCGGGGGAGACTCCAAAGTATGCCGTATTTTTCAAACATGTTGACCATTCTTTCGTTATCGCATCTCTTTGAAGTTTTCCGTGTAATCTACAGATATCGTTATTATGCTTACAGCGTATTGGCTGGATGAAAAGATGAGCAATTGGATTTCTATTTATGAAGGAGAAAAAAGGGAAGAGGAAATAAGTGGATGATAATTTAGTAAAGATTCAATATGATCTAGACTTTCTAGTTAACAATTGATTGTTGAACGCCAAAACAATTCGCTCTCAATCTGCTCTCAGACAGGGGATAGTCTGCCGGAGAGTCTTTTTGCTGGTGAAGCTGTTTACCTATTTCATTCCTCAATCCTTTTCCGCTCAAAAGTCCAGCGTTGGCGATTCCGCCTTCAGGATATGCGAAAGTTCCAAAATGTTTTGTGCATCCGAGGAAGGCAGAATTGCCAAAACGTCAGACTCCATCATATATTATAGCGTTCATGTTATATAATCCAAATATACACAATTCAAATTGCTGGGAAGTAACTCAATTTATTTTCAAATAGTCAGCCCTAATGCAGGACAACGAAGCTAAAGTAACACTAGAACAGTTAATTGTGAGCAATTTTGTATACGGTTTTAGCCGCGTTTAATGGGTTGAATTTCACGCCCACTTCGTGCAAGGTTTAAAAGCTTATTTTAGCTCTCATGTTTAATTCACGAAGAAACATTTAAAAGTCCCCGTTTATTGAAAAGAAATTATGCCGGGACACACCCACGCCAACATGATAACATTTACCACGCAAAGTGCAAAGTTGAAAAACAACCTCTCGTTCATTGTCCGTATTTCACGTTCTTTTTGTTCTTTTTGCGTTGCTACGCCAACAAAAAGTTATACGCTAAGTTGCAAAACAAGCTATGTGTTTGATTTGTGTGATTGATTTGTGTTATTATGTGTTATTTTCCTCTCTTTTGTATCGGCTGAGTCTGTAGAAGAGAGAGAGCATTAATTTGTTATATGGCACCAGTTAATGACTTTGCTAATGAGTTTTAGCCGCTGAATAGAGCAACCATTAATTGAACCACAGGAAAAAAAAAAGAGAATTGATAAACCTGAGTACACGCGATGTTATCTAGGTAGAAACGAAGCATAGATGAGTGACTTTCCTTTGCCAAAATTCCGCTTCAAATTTCAAGTTGAACAGTTTTTCAAGCGTGAAGTAACGTAATAAGTTTCTACAAGAAATTTTATTAAAATGCATATTTTGAAAAAAATTAATATAAAAAGACATGAAGGAGACTCACTGAATTGATAAAAAAGGCTTAATTTCGTTCTCTGACAATATAGCGGGTTGTTTTTCACGTGGAGAAACGTGCTTACGGCACGTGGGGAATCCATCGTTAGCCGGCACTGCAAGTTAGCATTAGAGACTGAGGTTAAGCATGACGTTAACGGCAGACGGCAAACGGCAAAGATAACTTCTGATTTTGAGTTCTTTTCTTCTAATCCGTAAATAAAGCACACAAAAATGGAATAAAGTCTCCTACTATTCATTGCAAATACAAATAATTTCACTCTACTGCACACACAACTGAAGAGAGAGGGCAAAAGTTTCATTTTTGCCGTTTGCCGTTTGCCGTAAACGTCATGCTTAACCTCTCTCGTGTGCCAAAACAACGTAGACGTATTTTTTCAGCACAGCATCTCAGTAATAACTTACGTAAGAAGGTCGAATATCATCCTAACAAGATACAAAACCTCAAATCACAAAAGGCAATCAAGTGAAACAGTTGGATGTCGCCAAAAATTTCTTTCAGTAATCAGCATGATGTCTCTAACTGGTACCTAACACCGTAAATAAGTGGCTACTTAAGCTCGCGGATTTGCTTACATTTCCACATTGCTGAGAGAAACGTTCATCGCGTCAAGACGCTGAGAGACTTCTTTGTTGATATCAAGAGCAAGATTGACTGTGTTTGAGTCCTCTCCATTAGATTTGAACTGAGCTGAAGCCATCTGCGCGTCTAAAAGCATATTTGCCCTGAAGCTGAACTGAAGTGCAAATCCTTTGCGAACTCGCCGCTGTTCAGCACAAGAGGAAGTTGATTCGTCTCGAGAGGTTCAACAATCATCAAGGCGCTAATACTTCTCGACAAGAGCATGATGAATTCGACAGGTAATCAAACTGGCGGGGAATTTGTGTTGCCCTACTTCAAGGAGCCACAGTGGTTAGAAATCTTGAGGTTAACTTTTCAAGTCTTCATCGCGTCCGTTGGCCTAGCAGGCAACGCGATGGTTTGCATCGTCATAACTTTCCAGCCTCAAATGCACAATGTCATCAACTTCTTCATCAGAAATCTCGCCATCGCAGATCTGGGGATTCTTATCTTGTCCTTCCCGTTAGCAGTGATCAAGGAACAAAACCCGTACCACTGGCCCCTGGGGGAATGTGTGTGCCGGTACGTGTTCCCCCTAGCCGACATATTTCACGGTGTATCAGTCTGGTCAATTACCCTGATTGCCATCGATCGATACAGAGCTATAGTCCGGGGGGTCCTTCCCAGGCGTAGCACAACCTCCTTCAGATCAGCGCGTTGGATGGTAGCCAGTGTTTGGATGCTATCGTTTCTAATTATCTCTCTTCCCCTGTATTTTATCATGGAATTCATTGATTACAGTGTTTACCAACCCTCCACTGACATGGTCGATTGCACTCCAAACTGGCCGAACATCAAAGGAGCAGACGAGATGCGACAGATTTACCTGATCGGCGTTGCCATATTTTGGTATGTTCTACCACTCGCTATCATCGGTGGAACCTTCTACAGTATTTCAAGGAAGCTTCATGCTAGCAGCAAATTCAACAAGTCCATACGAGAAGAGTGCAGCGACCCCGAGGAGCTGCAAAGCACCCGGAAAAGGCTGCGAGAACGACAAAATAGCAAAGCGAAAAAGCTTTTAACCCCAGTCGTTGTAGTTTTTGCCATCACCATGTTACCTTACAATGTTTTTCGCTTTGTTGTTTTGTACTGGAATGATATTACCGAACATAAATACCTCTGGGTTTATTACAATGTCTGTGTGACTTTAGTCATTGCGAATTCATCAGCAAACTTTTTTATTTACTCCCTGGTAAGTGACGAGTTTCGCCAAAGTTTCAAGAACCTTTTTTGTTGTAACTCAACCTGCTCTACTCAAAATACAACAGAGAGAACAATAAGGAGCCCGTTAAGCCGCACGCCATTGAATGTAAGCCCGTTAAACCTTAGCCCTTTAAATACCGGAAGACATGAATAGAACAACGAACTTTATTAAAACAACGATCAAGAGGAAATCTGCGGGGGAGAGGCTAGGATGTTGTTTCAAAAACAAAACTCGGAAAATGTGAAGTTTTTTTTTTCCTTTTTCACTGATGTCAAAATAGAATTGAGAGATTTGTAGAGTTTCAAAACTCTTTCATTTCTGATATAAATAATTTTTGTTTCCTTGTTTTGTCTAAGCTGCCATGCACTATTTAAATTTTGTTTAAAAGTTGCTTGGCGGGATTTTGTGACACGAGAAACGAATGCAGTGTACATTTACATATAAGTGGCATATAAGTACTTGTATTGTTGTACTCGAACTAAGTCACCTAGTTTTAAGTAATTATGTAAAATAGCCACGAAGCTGCATAAAAACGAAAAAAAAAAATTAAACTGACTAGAAAACTAAAATTGAAGAACAGTTTTTTAAACCCGGATAAGGTTAAAACAGAATCTCGATAAGCGAGACTTTAACTTGTATGTCCCTACGCTTTTAAGTTTGTACAAGTCCTTGTTCTTTATGCTCAATGACTATTTCATTTTCAAATTGAGTGAAGAAAGGTACCTAGTCTTCAAACTACTTATGTAAGACCATAAATAAGAAGAAGATAATGCAGAAGGAAGTTAGATAACCTATAATTGTGACCTATAATTGCTTCCAAGTGTCAGCTGAAGTGTCAACGAACATTGTTGGCTAAATACGTGCATGTGATATTTACTTTTTGATTTATTATGTGTGTAAAACAAATTACTGAATATATCAATAAAATTTTGAACAACGTATTAACGGCTGTCGGAATAGTTACTTGCCCAACAAAACATTTTCATCCTCACTGCTTTATCTTTGGTTTTCATAAAAATAAATCGCGTACAGTTTATGCATGCGACTCGAAAATGATGATTTGAAAGCTCTTTGAAGAGATATGTACTTCAAACACAACCCAGCTTATAGATAATAAAAATCTTTCTTATCCTGAAAAAAAAAAAAAAAAAAAAAAAAAAACGATCAGTTGAACCTAAGGGAGCAGCTGAAATAAACCGGTGATCTTAATCTTACATTGTAAAGCGCTTTAGAATGTTTTATAATTTTGGCTCTATATAAATCTATTATCATTATTATTATTATTATTATTATTATTATTATTATTATTATTATTAGCAGTATAAAATGTATTCATCTAAAAGTACATCCACACAATAACATTAGAAGAATATTAAAAATCAGAAAATATTTATACCCACTTACGAGCAGTACAATTATGTTCCTTGAGATCTACGTCTAAGAAATACTTTAAAACCTTATTTTGAAAGTTAAAAACAGAGTTGAGTTCCCTTAACTCTTTGCGAAGATCGCTCCAGTCCTTTGCAGCAGCACACTTAAACGAAGACTGCCCCATTGATGAAGACATAATTCCCCCTAAATCTATTAAAGTAGCATCCTTAAGAATCTTTTATGTGATGCTCACCGCTTAACTAAATAATTCTTTAATTGATCTGGACAATTTATGTTATTCACAGTTTTATAAACTAATTGAAGCCTTAAGAAACGACATCGACTTCTTTTGCGCATGTCCTGAGTACAGGATTTACGATGAGCAGCTTACAAAATAACACGCATTGCTTTATTCTGGAGGCGTTCTAAACGCTGAGCATTCTGCTTACAGCAATCTCCCCAAACTATACACCCATAGTCAAATATATTTTGACCGTAATTGTTACTAATCTCGCAATCTGATTGGCTAATTTGCTGTTGTCGATAAGAGTCCAGACAACGTTGATATTGTGGCAAAAAACAAATCGAATGTGGTTTAGCGTTGTCTGTACTCTTATCGACAACGATACGCGTCATTACAGTGGTCAAAATTGTGATCAAGATGTTGTGGACTCACGAGGCGCAGCCGAGTGAGTCCACAACATCTTTGACACTGTGATAACGCATATCGTTGTCGATAAGAGTACAGACAACGCTAAACCACTTTCGATTTGTTGAATATACAAATGGCTTGAACGACGTCAGCTTTTTAGAATATTTCTGCCCGGTCGCTCTGTTTTAGCAGGTACCAGTGTGACTAGTGATGTTAACGCCCCCCCTCCACTCCCTGCTGACCACTTGACTTTAATGTTCTTTTGCTCTCTGCAGGCATTTTTCCAATTAACCATTTTCCGGATTGGAGTATGTTTACATGTGTAATGTAGCACGCCTTTTGGGGGATGAGTTTTACAGACTGAATGAATCACCCACTGTGATAACCCACTGTTTTTCTTCCTTTAATTTTTTTCTTCCGACCTCTCATTTTTCGGTAAACGTCCAGCAACCACCCTGTATAGAAATTTCCTCTTATTTACCACCCTATAAAAATAAGATGTTGCTCTTAGTTGTGTTTGGAATGAAAAGCACGTTTCATAGAATCAGTATATAAAATACTGAACAACTCAGTTGGTTATAAACTTCAAAGTAAATTATAAACCGTCCTAGCGATTTGATAAAAGCTGAAATTTCGGGTTTCGCAGTAAAAACTAGCTAGCGCAGCCACTTTGTAAAATGAAACAGTTCCAATCCGCTTATTTAATGCTAATGTCGAAACATCCAACTAGTTATAATTGCTCCTGTTGTTTGCACAAGTTTAAGTTATCTGTCTGCCAAACGCGCATGTGATTACTGCAGATGTGATTATCAAGCGCACGACCACACGTGGTGTGCGCGTGAATCAGTCAAGGCTCTCCTCGAACAACCAGCTAATTAACAGAAACTGAAAGCATATCCGCGTGTTGATTAGAATGATGATCGGAGCGGTGTTATCTTTTTCAGAAATGTATTATTAAAAATTAAAGTAATAACAATTAAAATAAAGTTAGTTAAGAAGTGCTTTGCATTCGCCGGAGAAACTCGATATTTCACTATGCAAAACAAGCCTTAAGTTCACCAAGGTTATCGGTAAATACACTTCACAGTTCCAGAAGGCAGACCCAGTGAAAAAACTGAAACTTAATGATAAAGTGAGGTCGTTGTATTAAATCGCGTTCCCAGGAAAGGCAGTGTTACTTTTAGTACGTAACCATTCCGGCTATAGAGTGAAGCTTCCTCTATTGCCCTCTGTTCATTTCTTATTTATTATGTGCAAAAGTTTTACAAGCAACTTGAGCATAGTTTCCTTCTATTATCGTTAACGTAAGCCGACATTGACTGCATGTAACAGGTGTCCTCAGTTCTCCAAGTATTGCCCTTCAATAATTTTGTTCATAAACTAAATCAGATCAAACAAGGCCGGTTCAGGGACAGCGCGTCACCCAAGATTTAGTTTTATTATAAAACTGTTTTTTTCTTATATAAAACTTGTCAGTTTTACTAGCTCAAAGAGTAAGAACCATAGCATGTATATGGGTAGTGTAAGTGGAACCCGGGTAGTCCTCGCCTGGCTGGTTAGCTCCCTCACCGCTACACTATCTGAGTGCTGGCTGCCGAAATTCCCAACTTTTGAACTATATATTCCACAAGCATAAATATATCTATTGTAATGTTGTCCAAACCACAAAATGAAGGCTAACCGCAAGGAAACCTGGCATTGGTTAGAAATAACCAATGTTGAGAGAGAGTTATGGTGTCCATCGTTCTGGCAAAATTTATTGTTTCATATTTAGCGACGTCCCAGAAAAGACGGGTATTTCAAAACTTGACAACAAGTTCCTAGTGCGAAAAGTATACTTTAAAAGCACGTGTATACGGCCATCTGGTGCAGAAAAAAAAACAACTAGCAAAGCAGAATTGGCCTTGCGATACACGGCCTTTAGATTATGTAAGAACCTTCAGCCGACAGAACATAACTATACATATAAGAGGATAACACATCCTGTACAGTTGCCATAACAAACTTAGTTAAATTTTAATTTGTTCAAACAGGTATTTGATAAGCATATTTAGGGGGAGGGGGAGTGAGCGGGAGGACGCTAATTAATGATGGGCTTTTTCTTTACGTAGAGAGGGGTACGGAGGGGACTGATGACCGAAACGGGTTCTGCGAGTGAAAACGTTCACATATACCTATGAATCCTGCTAGCCGATTCTCTCTACAGTGCGATTCTCAAAACTAGCTCTACAATCGCTAGATCGAAATTTTCAGAGAATACTGTCAAATCATAAAATTCAAAACAAGCTCTACACTAGGAAGATGAGAAGCTTATAATCAGGAGACATGATATTATCTTTAGAGCTTAATCTTACTTTTACTCCCTCTTTTGGGAGAAGAATGGTTGGAAAACTACTTTCGTCTGAGTGTTTTTTAAGGCGGGTTGTTGACAAGGGGGGAGCCTACCATTGGAATTTTTTACGTTATGGAACATGGCTAAAAATGACGTCTCGCCAAAGAGTAAGGCTTAGTTCTTTCGGCAATGAAAGGCAACGGAATCCTTGCAACCTGCAAGCCAAGGTAGAGGGTGACATAGGGTTTCTGCATGACGTGTGATGGCCCCAAAATTGATGCGTGATGCGTGATTGAGACCAAATTAGCCGCGTGACGTGGGACAGGACATCATAACGT